ATAAGTAAAAGCTTAAACACACACACACACACACATTAGATCATATCAAAGATCTTCTGATAATTTCCCCTTGCACTTGCAAAGTCCTATGAGCTGTCACTCCTGCTTTCCTTTGCAACATCACCTTGCACCAGTCTCCCCTTTTATCAATGTGTCCCAGACATATCAATCTTTGAGTTCTATTATTATAAGTCAATTATATCTCAATAAAACTGGGGGAGAGTACCCATTAAAAAATCTTTGAATTGTAAAACAAACCACTACTGGAACATCTGCTAAAAAAAATCTTTGAATTGTAAAACAAACTATTACCGGAACATCTGGCATCATTTTTCAACATACTATTCTTTTCAGGCTTTCTTTCAAACAGCAAGCTTTTCTGATAAAATTCTACTACCTTGGAAGGACTTCTCTGACAGGTCATTGCCATTCAAATGCCCTTATTTCAACTGATTGGGTGCTACATTGGTGGAGTTTAATTGCCATTTAAAATGGCCTTCAAAGTAATTACACTTAGATCTGGCATTAGACCAAAATGTAATTATGTAAGCAAAAAGCAAAGAAACAGAGTAGCCGAGTGTACATTTGTTGTTGGTGAAGCAAGTGTTCCTCTCTGGAGTGAACAAATTCCACATTTTTTTTTAAAGATTTTATTTATTTATTTGACAGAGAGAGATCACAAGTAGGCAGAGAGGCAGGCAGAGAGAGGGGGAAGCAGGCTCCCCACCGAGCAGAGAGCCCGATGTGGGGCTCGATCCCAGGACCCCGGGATCATGACCCGAGCCGAAAGCAGAGGCTTTAACCCACTGAGCCACCCAGGTGCCCCTCCACATTTTTTTTTAAAGATTTTTTAAAATTTATTTTATTTGACAGAGAGAGAGAGAGATCACAAGTAGGCAGAGAGGCAGGCAGAGAGAGAGAAAGGGAAGCAGGCCCCCCGCTGAGCAGAGAGCCCAACGCAGGGCTTGATCCCATGACCCAGGATCAGATCATGACCTGAGCGGAAGGCAGAGGCTTTAACCCACTGAGCCACCCATGCGCCCCTAACAAATTCTGCATTTTGCAAAGGAATGAAGACTCTAAGAGAACTAAGAAAGGAAAATACTCACAAATGGATAAACCTTTATGTTTTGATATTAAAATGTATGCAAAGAATAGTTGATCATACATAAGGCAAGAAAATACCCGTATCAAAATTTACCAATGGGAAACCATCAACAAAATGAAAAGGCAACCTACTGAGTGGGAGGAAATAAATGCAAAGCATGTAAAGGATAAGGGGCTAATCTTACACAATAACAAAACCAAACAATTCAATTTAAAAATTGGGCAAAAAGTTTGAATAGACATTTTTCCAAAGAAGACATGCAGATGACCAACAGGCATATAAAAAGATGCTCAACATCATTAACCATCAGGGAGATGCAAATCAAAACCACAATGAAATATCACCTCACACCTATTATCAAAAAAGAGAAAAAAAAAAAAGTGTTGGCAAGGAGATGAATAAAGGGAACACTTGTGCACTGTTGGTGGGAATGTAAATGGGTATAACAACAATGTAAAATTATGGATGTTCCTCAAAATATTAAAAATAGAACTACCATGTAATCCAGCAATTCTACTTCTGGATATTAATCCAAAGAAAATGAAAACACTAACTTGAAAAGATATATATATATATATATATATATACATATATATATATATATATATGTACATATCTGCACATTCACTACAGCTTTATTTACACTAGTCAAGGTATAGACAACCTAAGTATCCATTGATGAATTAATGGATACAGAAATGTAATACACACACATATATACCAGAATATTATTTACCCACAAAAAAGGATGGAATTTTGCCATTTGCAAAAATATGGTTGCATCTTGAGGGCATTACCCTAAGTGAATAAATCAGAGAAAGACAAATAGCACAAGATCTCTGTGTGGGGCCTATAACTGAAACAAAAACAAAAAAACTTGAGAACAGATAGGTGGTTACCAGGGGTGAGAGGTGGGAGTGGGAGAAATGGGTCTACTGCTTTCTTTTTTTGTTTAAATTGACTTTAAAAACTTAAGAAAAAAAATTTTTTTTAATTTACAAATGGGTGGCACAGACTCAGAAAAGATTCCAGGGCCAAGAGTGTAGCACTTCTGCGAATGCTGCATCAACACCTGTGATAAGGGTATGCTAGCATATGGAAACACAGCAGTATCAGCAACTGTGAAAGACTGAATGTGGAGAAATATTAAGAATGCCTTAATTCATCTTGATTATATGTTTTTGTATGCAGAAGAATAATATATGATACAAATATTTTAAATGATCTAAAAGTTCTTTTTTTTTTTTTTTAAAGATTTTGTTTATTTGACAGAGATCACAAGTAGGCAGAGAGGCAGGAAGAAGCAGTCTCCCTGCCGAGCACAGAGCCAGATGCAGGACTCGATCCCAGGACCCTGGGATCATGACCTGAGCCGAAGGCAGAAGCTTTAACCCACTGAGCCAGCCAGGGGCCCTAATCTAAAAGTTCTTTCGATAATTACAAAGTGGAAATTCTAGGGGCATCTGGGTCATTCAGTTGGTTAAGCCTCTGCCTTCAGCTCAGGTCATTATCCTGGAGTCCCAGGATCAAGCCCCATATCCGGCTCCCTGCTCCACAGGGAGTCTGTTTCTCCCTCTGCCCTTTATCTGCTTGTGCATGCTCTCTCTCTCTCTCACTTCTCTCAAATAAATAAATAAAATCTTAAAAAAAAAAAAGTAGAAATTCTAAATGATATAGCATTGTGTGATGGTTCAACATTTCTTTTCTTGTGCTACATAAAACAATGGTGTATCTTACCGTAAAGTTATCTTATTTTCAGTTAAATACATTCATCCATTTGAATTGCCAGAGGGAGAGACTAGAGTAGGGAAAGGCAACATTTGAAACTAATAATTGAGAATATTCTAGACTTGATACAATACATAAATCTTCTGATTTGGGAAACTAAACTCCCTGGACAGCATAAATAAAACTAAATCTATATCGAGATACACCGTAGAAAAACTAATTCTACAGACCAAGATAAGATAGCAAACACAATTAAAGGGAAATGCTATAACCAAAGTAAAAGAAAAATAGCAAAATGGGGGGGGGGAAATATATGTAATAGAGAAATGCTTAATATATAAAGTGCTCCTTGCAATCAATAGGAAAAAGAGTTTAAGGGAAAAGATAAAAATATACAATGGTCAAGAATCTTAAAAAAAATACACATGAAAGGGGGCACCTGGGCGGCTCAGTGGGTTAAAGCCTCTGCCTTCAGCTCAGGTCATGATCCCAGGGTCCTGGGGTCAAGCCCCAAATTGGGCTCTCTGCTCAGCAGGGAACCTGCTTCCTCCTCTCTCTGCCTGCTTCTCTGCCTACTTGTGATCTCCTGTCGAATAAATAAATTAAAAAATCTTTTAAAATATATATATATATAAAAGATATCCAACCTGTAACAATTTTTATTTATGTGAGAGAGAGAGAGAGAGAGAGCACAAGTGAGACGCAGAGGGAGCTGGGAGCCGGTGCTAGACTCCATCCCAGGACCCTGAGATCATGACCTGAGCTGAAGGCAGCCACTTATACCCCTGTAATCATTTTTTTTAAAGATTTTATTTATTTATTTTAGAGAGAGATCATGAGCAGGGGGAGGGGAAAATGGAGGAGAGATAGAAGCGACTCCCTGCTGAGCTAAATAAAGCCTGCCTGTGGAGCTCCATTCCAGGACCCCAGGGGAAGGCAGATGCTTAACCAACAACCCAGGTGCCCCCTGTAACAATATTTTAATGTGCAAATTGGAATTTTCACACAAATAAGCATAGGTTTTAAAACAAGATTGCATAGGGGAAAGGACAGAAAAATGACACAAGATGAAACCAGACAGGAAGAAAACCTTAAGGGACTCTTGGTCTCAGCAAATAACAAACTGAGGGTTGTTGGAGGGGAGAGGCATGGGAGGGATTAGGTGGCAGGGTGATGGACATTGGGGAGGATATATGCTATGGCGAGAACTGTGAATTGTGTAAGATTGAAGAATCACAGACCTGTACTCCTGAAACTAATAATACATTCTATGTTAATAAATTTTTTTTTAAATTGCTAGTATCTATAGCTAGGAAAATATGGCGAAATGAGCATGTCCACAGGCTGAGGCAAACTGCAATCTTTCAGCGGTCAATTTAGTAACATTTGTCAAAACTTTAATGGGTATGCCACTGCAAGGAGTCGATGTCACAAAAATCAACTAAGTACCCAAAGGTGTTTGTAATTACAAGAAATTGGTAAGTTTGGCTACATGCATAGGATACTATTCCATCGTTTTAAGAAGTGATGATATAGAGGTGGTATGTGACATAAAATTAAACATAAGCTTATTAAGTACATTGTAGAAGTGTTTCTGGTATGAACTCATTTTTTCTTTTACATGTATTTGTAGAGAAAAAAATGCTTAGAAGGTTGTCTACAGTAAGTAACAAGAGCTTGGGGTGCGTGCGGGCGAGGAAGGGGCATGATAATTTTCTAATCGTAACTGCACACCGTTTGACTTTTAGGAGCACATCACTTCCGTAACAGCAAAAATAAAACGCACATTTAAAACAGCTGTACTCAGGCTGCAAGGCAGTCTTCCTCCTGTTAGGTTGGATTTGCGCTTTATTTTCACTTTCTTGATATTCCTGAAGAGGGATGTTGAGCAGGCAGCACAAAACTCTAAGACCCAGAACCCCTGTCAGGCCTTCACAAGCCTAGACTTGTTTTAGCGTCGGGGTTCGCAGAACAAGGCAAAAAAGAAAGCGGAGGCGCCACGCTCCTGCCCCGCTCCTGCGTCCAACCCTCCAATGGATGTTCAGGGAGGGCGGGCTACATGCAGATCAGGGCCACTATTGGCCCTAGAGTCTCTCCGACAGGCAATGGGCGGGGCAGCGTGGTGACGTATCCACACGCGGCGCAGAGGCGGAGAGCGCGCGCTCGCAGACGCGGCGCTATTAAACCGTCGCAGGCGCCTCGAGCTGGTTGTGATCGTCCTGGCTCTCAGACGTGAGTTCGTGCGTTCGCCGGCTCGCTCTTACCCTGTGACGCCCAAGCCGGGAACAACTTCCTCTTTATCTCCGCCTGTAGCTGCGTCGTTGTGACTCTGCCACCATGTTCGAGGCGCGCCTGGTCCAGGGCTCCATCCTGAAGAAAGTGCTGGAGGCGCTGAAGGATCTCATCAATGAGGCCTGCTGGGACATAAGCTCGAGCGGCGTCAACCTGCAGAGCATGGATTCCTCCCACGTCTCCCTGGTGCAGCTCACCCTGCGCTCCGAGGGCTTCGACACGTACCGCTGCGACCGCAACTTGGCCATGGGTGTGAACCTCACCAGGTGAGCCCCAGGGTGGCGGAGAGCCGGGCTTTTCGTGCACCCCCGCCTCCGGCTCTTGGCGGGAGCGCCGGCGAGCTAAGCCCTCATTGGCTGGCACAGGCGACCCGCGCCATTTCATTGGCCTGCGACGCCGAGGGGCGGGACCTAGCGGAGCGCGCGGTTCGGAAAGCCCGCGCTGGCAGCCGCGCGAACCGGCTCTTTCCGCGCCAAAGTCACAAAGCGGGTGGTGGCGGGAAAATGACGGGCTTCATCGAAATGCCAAGAAGACAGTTGCACAGCTCTTGAGGCATTAAGTGCCGGCGGCCTTGGACGAGAGACCTTTGGCCTGATTGACCAGTTCTGTCACCCTACCTGGGGACGGACAGTCGGTCGATTCTGGTCTTTTATTATAAAGTTGCAGTGAGCACCCTGAGGTCATGACTTCAAATTTCTCCAGGGCAGGGGCTTTCAAAGTTTGATTACTACTTGTCTAGGACATAAACATGTTTAAATCTCAAGGTTTGTGAGAAATACTTTAGCCGACTACATGCAGTGTGTTTAAATGGGTATCTTCCATCATTTTTCGTGATCGTCACAACCGAATAATTGGCTTCACCCACCAAAGGGACTTGCAGGTCGTAAAATACTGCTCTTTTGTTGATATCCAGAAGTGAAACTGCTCGTGATAAGGAGTGTGCTTGCTAAAATATAAATACTGCTAAATTGCATTACAAAATGGCCATATCAGTTTACCTAACATACCCAGTTCCTCCGACACCCCTGGTAAAAATAGCAACTCCTTCTTTTGAGTCAGACATCGATCTTGAGAACATTGTGTGGATTTTAAATCCTGTGTCTTCTGTATTCTAGCATGTCCAAAATACTGAAATGCGCTGGCAATGAGGACATCATTACACTAAGGGCTGAAGATAATGCGGACACCCTGGCCCTAGTATTTGAAGCTCCAAGTAAGTCATACCCTTCAACTAAGTTATACTAGGGGAAATTTAAATGCAGTGTGTCTCTCAAAGTTGTGAGAAATTTAAGAAAATGTTTGTGATGATTGTAGAACTTAACATCATAGTTATAAACTTAAATGCTTTTCTTCAATCTGCTTTCTTTTGGTAGATCAAGAAAAGGTTTCAGACTATGAAATGAAATTAATGGATTTAGATGTTGAACAACTTGGAATTCCAGTGAGTATCAAAGTTTGTACTGTACACAGGGCATGATAGTTACATAAGAAAGTGTTAATAATACAGTTTAAAGCCCAATTCCTAATGGAACTTCTGTATATCTGCTGTACATGTTCCAAAGTAGGGATTTAGTATTTAGACTATTTGTAATTTCATTAAACTACAGTACTCTAAGTTGAATCTGGTTGAATTGATTGCTGCCAAATGTATGTTAGCATTAACCTCCATGCTTTTTTTTCCTCCCAAGAGTAGACTTTAAGGCTGTGTTAGCAGAAATTCATTAAGGTTGGGTTTGTCAACATAAAAGGAGAGTTAAGATATTTAAAATCCTTAGTATCTTGTTTTCTTGTTTTGTTTTGGTAAGCAGTTGGGCCTGTTTGCATACACATCATCATTTGTATGCCATGCCCTAATGTCCTCTCAATTTAGCCCTGGAGGGTGATTGGGGAAGGCTCTTTTCCTTGAATAGTGCATTTATCATTAAAGGTTTAAACTCTTATTTTAGTTTTCTAAGTATAATTATTATGACATACTTGTTTTAAATCTATATTTGCTTTTCGAGGTTTAGAGTATGTTATGAAATTACACAATGAGTGATATTTCAAAGTAATCAGGAAATCTTAAATTCTGAATTTTTGTCAAATGCAGAGTCTTCAGAAAAGGAGAATTTTTAATTTCCAGCAGATGAACTTTTATTTTATTTCATTTTATTAGGAACAAGAGTATAGCTGTGTAGTAAAGATGCCTTCTGGTGAATTTGCACGTATATGCCGAGATCTCAGTCATATTGGAGATGCTGTTGTAATTTCCTGTGCAAAAGATGGAGTAAAATTTTCTGCAAGTGGAGAACTAGGAAATGGAAATATTAAGTTGTCACAAACAAGTAATGTCGATAAGGAGGAGGAAGCTGTAAGTAGTTTCTTAACTAACAAAATACTCTGAAGAGTATGGTAACCCTTCTTCTTCTTCTTTTTTTGAGAATGGTAACCCTTCTTAACATTAGATTGTGCCTTAGTCTCTTCAGGCTACTATAGCAAAATACTGTAGACAATGACTTATAAACAACTGAAATTTATTTCTGACAGTTGTAGAGGCTGGAAAGCTGGCAGATTCAGTGTCTGGTGAGGACCTGCTTCTTGGTTCACAGACAGTGGGCTTCTCTCCCAATAGAAGGGTCAGAGGAGCTCTTGGGTCTCTTTTAGAAGGGTACTAGCACTAAGCACCTCCCAAAGGCTCTATCTCCAGGTACCATCACTTGGGGATTTGGTTTTAACATGAACTTTTTGGGAACACAGACATTCAGTCCATAGCAAGGTAATTGCAACTCAACAGAGGATCTAGTTGGAGGTAAAAATTAACCTTTTAGGAGCTCTTATGTAATCTTTATATTTAAGTTTCAACAATGTAGGCCCAGTAGGGGGCCTAGAGAACCTCCATTTAGGGACAAAGAACACACTAATTACTAAACATCCTTAAATTAAGGTTTTCCTAGAAAATCAAGTGCTTTTTTTTTTAGAAGAGTATTTATAAACAAATATTTTGTAATTGTATTTTTTTTTAAAGCCTTACTAGCCTTTGAAAAAACATCAGTTAATTCTGTAAACGAAGGACAATTTAAGGTTCTAACTTCATAGGATTATTAGGCTTAAATGTGGTAACATTCGGGGCGCCTGGGTGGCTCAGTGGGTTAAGCCGCTGCCTTCAGCTCAGGTCATGATCTCAGGGTCCTGGGATCGAGTCCCGCATCGGGCTCTCTGCTCAGCAAGAAGCCTGCTTGCTTCCCTCTCTCTCTCTGCCTGACTCTCCATCTACTTGTGATCTCTGTCTGTCAAATAAATAAATAAAATCTTTAAAAAAAAAAAAATGTGGTAACATTCAAAGTGCTTACCATAGTGTGTGACATTTTATGTTTATAGTAATTATTAGATACTCTAGTTCCTTGCATGAGTAGTCAACCCTCAGTTTAAATGAAGACTTAAAAATATTACTAGCAAAAATTCAGGGGCTAATTCTGTATTATCTCTGCTAAATTACATGGTAACTTCCTGCCATTCTGGATTTTTTTTTTTTTTTTAAAATCTCAGATTAGTTCCTCTATAAGTATTTTTGTGTCTGAAATGTGAGCGTTTATGACATTATTTGGTATTAAGGAATTTTTCAGTGTTTTCCTGTTTCCTTGGTTATTTCAGAAGTTTTTTGAATCAAGATTTTAATAAGCTCTGTATACTGTAGTTCACTGATAGGCCCTCAAATTCTTTTAATCCATTGGTTTTCCATTCAATTTCTTTATCCCCCCTCTCCATTACAATTTGTTGAGGCAAGTCCTTTGTCACTGAGTTTTCCTGAAATCTGGATTTTGCCTGTTGTATCCCTTATGTCAATTAATATTCTTCTTTAACCTATATTTCCTATAAACTGGTAGCTACAGCGCTAGAGGCTTGATATTCAGTGTTTTCTTTGTTTTGGGAGTGAGATAATAATACTTTACAGATGCTTGTATGTATACCCCTTGTTAGGTATGAGGTGTCTACATTTTCTTAGCAGCCATAATAATTGTTTAGAATCATTAGGTCCTTAGAGTTGTATTAATACATTTCATTCCTCCTTTTATTAGCTGATTTATTTATTAGAAACATTCCCATAAAGAAGTTTTCTCTTACCACATAATTTTGTTTACCTGAGCTACAGTTCATGTGGGAAAGACAGACTAAATACTTGATTCTTTTGCTTTATTTACCAGTTCTCAAAATTAGTTTCATATCATTCTCCAAAGTAACCCAATAAGGGTTTTTTTGTTTTGTTTTTAAAGATAGATTCTAGGGGTGCCTGGGTGGCTCAGTCAGTTAAGCATCTGACTCTTGGTTTCAGCTCAGATCATGAGCTCCTGGAACAAGCCCTGCTTGGGCTCAGCACTCAGCCTGGAATCTCTGCCTCTGCCTCTCCCCACACTCACGCTCTTGCTTGTACCTATGCTCTGTCTAATAAATAAATCTTTTTTTTTTTTTTAAGGTATTTATTTGAGAGAGATCACAAGTAGGCAGAGAGGCAGGCTGAGAGGGAGGGGGAAGCAGACTCCCTGCTGAGCAGCGAGCCAGATGGGGGCTCGATCCTAGGACCCTGAGATCATGACCCGAGCTGAAGGCAGAGGCTTAACCCACTGAGCCACCCAGGTGCCCCAATAATAAACAAATCTTTAGAAATATATTCTGAACTAATGGACTGCATTTTCTTGATGTTTTTCAATATGATTAATCTTTCTGTTTTCTCTCAGGTTACTATAGAGATGAATGAGCCAGTTCAGCTAACTTTTGCACTGAGATACCTGAACTTCTTTACAAAAGCCACTCCGCTCTCTCCTACAGTAACACTCAGTATGTCTGCAGATGTACCCCTTGGTAAGATAATCGGTTTGTTGAATCTTGTTTTGTAGATGGTATATGTGGTACTTCTCAATAATTGTGTTCCTGTCTTCTTTCAGTTGTAGAGTATAAAATTGCCGACATGGGACATTTAAAGTACTATTTGGCTCCCAAGATCGAGGATGAAGAAGGATCTTAGGTGTTCTTAAAATCCAAGAAAATAAAGTTAAGCTTTTTAAGAACTGCTTCTGAGATGCCAGCATGTACTAAGTTCGTCACCAAATTTGTACCTCTTGAGTACATATGTAGATATTTTCTGTAAATAACCTATTTTTTCCTTCACTCTTTACAATTTGTTTAAAGAATAAAATCCAAAGTCAAATTTGGTCTTGTTAACCTAGAAATATTTCTGCCTTACCTAAAAATACTTGTGTATTCATAACAAAAGGGTTTTGATTCTAAATGCAGTTTTGAGAATTTTTTTCAATTTAAATAAAAGTTTTTTGAATTTCAAACATAACAAGACAGTGCCTTCATTTGGACCATGACTGTTGCAAGTATCCTGGGGAATTCAGTTCAAGCTACCATTTCATGTAAATGTGCTTATTTTTCCAGTCTAGAGCAGCCTGATAAAAATACATTTGATAGAGCAATAAAAAGTATTCCAACTACAGTAGGTGACAAGGTATTTTTGGGGATTCACTTGTCAAACTTATTTTGGTATTCTTCTAACTTGAGTTCAAGAAATAAACAGGAGAGTAGACCTATATATTTTGTTATTTTGTCAATTTTGTTAGCAAAAACACTTTTTTTTCCAGCTTTATGTACCCAAAGCTGTGTGGGCTTTAAAAGACTAGCACTGTTACAGGGCAGTGTCTTAGCCTAGGGAGCCTTTTAAAAGAATCTTGAAAGATTTAGTAGATCTGTGATAGGGGCCAAGCAATATGTTTGTGCAAAAATAATTTTTCTAGTATAAGTAGCCTTTTTTGGGACTTAATCCTAGCAGTTGTGAAACAGACTGTTTAAATGTTCCTACTAATTGTGTCAAACTGGCATAGCACATACTGAGAATCGCTTTATTAAAGTCCTTTATTCCTGGTGTATTCTGTGCTTGGTGGTTTAAACGACTGGTTCCTTTGTTGTAGTACCTGAACTGAGTTCTGGTTACTAGAGGTATAACCCACTATACCCAGTAGGTAACTAGTAATTACCTTCTGTGTGCTTGGGGGCAGGGAAGGATATTGGCTGCAAAGGGGCCTGATGGAAGTTTTGGGAATGATGTAACTTTAATATAGACGGGTGATGGTTCCAAGACTGTATACACTTGTCAAATTCATCCAATTGTACTTTATTGTATGTAAATTATACTTTAATAAATCTGACATTTACAAAGCTTCATGTGCTGCAAAATGTCCCTTGTGGGCGGGCTTCTTACTTGGTCCAGGCCTTATGTGGAGGAGCGGGAAACTGAAACACAAGAATGTGGGTCCATGCGAGTAGTGGTGGGGTATTGATGCAGACCGCGGCGCGCCCAGGAGAAGGCCTACAGCCGTAGGCACTGAATAGGAGACCTGCCAGCTCCAGTCATCCGCAGGTTCACTGTCGGCTTCTGTCTCCCGTGGGTGCCACTCAGCTTCCATCACTGCCCGGAGGATCAGGGAAAGAAACAAGTAGCCGGTTCACCCGGATTCTGACTGGGACTCCGGGAGCGGTCACCCTTGACACCTTCACAACCCAGTGGAGGTGCCTGGCAACAAACCCAGGCCGCAGCGACTCCCGCCGCCGATACCGTCCGAAGTACGCTACCACTAGCTACCACTAGCGCAAGGCGAAAACAAGTTCCGGAAAGGCGACTGAGAGACGTCGCTCCCGGTGACGCCACTTCCGGTACGCCGCCGTTCGGCGGGCCACTTCCGGTGTCAAGCGGGGCGGCTGAGGGGTGGCGGTTAGGTGAGGCGGGCCATGAGGCCTCAGGCGCTTCTGCTGCCAACCGTGAGCGAGCTGTCGGCACGCGGGCGGCCTGGCGCGGCGCTCCGGTAAGGCGTGTGTTCGGCGGGGCGGGAACAGAAGCGCCCCACTCAGGCGCCCGGCGGGGCCGAGACTGCGCTCCCTGCCGAAATCTAGCTTCGCGTCCTGGGTGTGGAGCGTTCACCAGCCTGGGCCACCGCTGGCCTCTTCCCAGAAACCGGTTTTGTTTGTTTCCGTCTAAATTCGCGTCTGTTTTTATTTGTCTTCCTGGCTAGGTCTGGAGACGGGCAGGAAGATAGTGTGTGTGGAGGCGCATAATGCTAGGCATTGCGCTAAGTGTTTTACTGATGCTTTTAAAGCCTTGCAGTCCCGGCGTGCTCGGGGAGTTTGAGAGTTGCGGTGGAACCGGTTTAAAAAAAAAAAAAAAAATTCTTTGGGGAACTTGAATGGTACTCTGAAAACCTCGGTTTACGTTTTTCCTTCCTCTTGCAGAATTCTTACTCTTTGCTACCAGTAAGCATTCGTCGCCCTTCTCCCTCACACCCTTCGCTTTTTTATTTTGATGCGGGTGTGTGAATAGGTAAAGCAGAGTCCGTAAACTTTTTTTTTAAAAGAAGATACAAATCAGAAGTGATTAAATGCCCTCAAACCCCCACATACCGGTAGTTCGGCCTTTAAATTTTGTAGAATTAATTTAGGTTATCATGTAATCGGGATCGCAACACTTAAAAACCTAGTATTCGATGCAGTTTGAGCTAACTTCAGAAAAGCATATAAATTAGCATACTGGATCCAGTACTTGATTTCTGCACTGTTATATAATTGCTAAAAAGGGACATTCACATTTAGCACCAATTCCATCATATTGCTAGTTATTTTAGCATTTTTATTATACATAGTATTTTAGGTTAACTCTTGGCCACTTAAAACAGCTCATTAATAATTGGGTTAAAGTATATAGAAAGCACTTTGACTAGTACCTGGTATCTAAGTGTGGGTAATTATTAACCAACATTATTATAATGATGGTTGTTTACGAAGTGTCATACCAGAGGAAGGCAAAGTCTTTATGGTTTCTGGATTGTTTTTTTTAATGGTGCCCTTTTTCTCTTTACAGATCCATGTCACCTTTAGAAATAGCTTCACAGTCAAAATAGATTTATCTATTGTATCAAAATACAAATGTTTTCTGACTTAAATGTCATTGTTTTTTTATCTTATCTACTACCTCTTAAACTAGTGACAAAATAGCCATGATTTCATTACTGAAGTTGATTTTGAATATTTTGCACAAAAAAACAAGTTTTGTTTTTATTTTTAATCTTTTTTAGGATGATATAGAAGTAATCTGGAAAATGAAATCACTACTTTCAGTGCTTGGGGTGGGGCAGAGAGGCAGACAAATTGGCACTGGTACAGTGCTGATTACCAGTAGTGATAGTGCTGATAGCCAAATTTACTGGAGGCTCTGCAGATTTTTTTGCATTAGAGGAATGATACCGGGGCGCCTGGGTGGCTCAGTGGGTTAAGCCACTGCCTTCGGCTCAGGTCATGATCTCAGGGTCCTGGGATCGAGTCCCGCATCGGGCTCTCTGCTCAGCAGGGAGCCTGCTTCCTCCTCTCTCTCTCTCTATCTGCCTCTCCGTCTACTTGTGATCTCTGTCTGTCAAATAAATAAATAAAATCTTAAAAAAAAAAAAAAAAAAAGAATGATACCGGACGCCTGGGTGCCTCAGTCAGTTAAGTGTCGGCCTTCTGCTGGGCTTTGGTGGTGATCTCAGGATCTTAGGATCAAATCCCACATGGGGCTCCTTGCTCAGTGGGGAGCCTGCTTCTTCCTCTGCCTGCTGCTTCCCCTGCTTGTGCCCTCTCCCTCTGACAAATAAATAAATAAAATCTTTTAAAAATTAAATAAAATTAAATTTAAAAATAAAAATAAATAAAAGAATGATACCCATTAGGGGGAATCAACAAAATGCTTAATGTGAGTGTATTCCATATCCCACCCATTCTCCCTCCCTGGCAAGTAAGAATCATTTGAGCTTATGCGCCTCTTGCTTTTTCCTGAAGCAGGGCCAGGGGCTAGGCAGTACTATAGCAGATGACTGAAAATGTGGACTTTGGTGTCAGACTTGGATTTAAGTCACCACTCTTCCACCTGCTCTGTGTGGAGGGTTTGGAAAAATTAGGAGGCACAGGAATATTGGTGAGAAGATAAACATGAGTTTTGTTTCTTGGTCAGTGTCTTGACTTTCATTCTACCAGGACAAGCCAGAGAAGGTACATAAGGAGAATGTTTTCACTTTGTCAAAGGAATATCAGATTTTAAGTGCAGTGGGGCGTGAATTGCCAGCTGCTTAGTATGACATCTCAGCCCAAATTCTAATATATGTAACATACTGTGGTCAGTGGCATATAATGACAGTTTTCTTTGTCTTCAGACTGTAGCTGTGTCAGTGTGTTATGATGCCGTCTCGTACCAACCTGGCTACTGGAATCCCCAGTAGTAAAGTGAAATACTCAAGGCTCTCCAGCACAGATGATGGCTACATTGACCTTCAGGTAAATGCGGAAGGGAATTAATGAGACTGGCTGGCTCCGTTTCTGTTGAGTTAGCAGGAAGACTTTCTAGGTGGAGGTTTTGCTGTCTCTGGGGATTAGAAGAAGCAGCAAGAAGGACACTTACCTCTGAGACCCTTTTAGCCATAGTTTGCAGAAGGAGGGGCCTTGGTAGAGCAGTTTCAAACCAATATAAACATTGTTCATTTCTAAGAATTTTTAGTTGTAACGCCAAAGCCCAGTAGTTACAAATTTTATTTAGTTTTTCTGGAAAATACTCAGATTGTGTTTTGTTAAGTAGAATTTCTTTTAAGGACTGTGTCATTGGTTCATTTACACTTTAGTCAAAGCCAGTTCATCTTTTAAGGGAGAAACTAACTGCTAAAGCCAACAGATTGTGGGAATCTTCCTTCTTTCCTGATGTCATGAGATCCAATTTATTAAAGGTATTCTTTTGGCAAACAGTAAGTAAAACAGAATATTTAATATTTGTTAAGTTTGTATCCTACCCTGATTCGTTATTTATAAAATACTTAATGGTGTAGCATATCTCCTTCTGCCCACTTTCCCTTGGAATAGTTTAGGTGGAACCAGGGCCAAGGAGGAAGAGGCAGGAACCCATCCCTTTAAATATAAACAAATCAATGACTCTCTGCACTCTTCGGACCCATACTTGAAGGAGAGAAGTTTTGTTTTTTGAAAGCACATCTGAGAAGCTTCCAGCCCATTAGGTCAGATACAGAAATGAGGCAAACCTCAGAAAGCTTGTGTCTGAATCTTAACTTTGAATGGAACTTATTAACAAGTCAGGTTACTTGATCCCTGGGGTGGGCAACTAATGCTTTAGAAAAAGGTTTCTAAAACCTTTGACTGTATGCTCACTTAACTTTGAATGCCAGAAGTCACTTGTTTTCTTTACTTCTCCAGATCACAATGTTCCTCTTGAATCCCTAGAGATTAGTACAGCCTTCCATGTGCCAGGCACTTAATAAGTATCTAATATCTAATCAATGAATGACCATAAAGTATCTTCTGTTTTTGTAAGAAAATATTTTCTTATGGTGAATGGTATATGGAATAAAATTAGAAGTAGAAAGAGTAACATTCTGCTGGGACTCCTCCGAGTGGCTATTAGAGCAGTAATGAGAGCTTCACCTCCTGTTTGTCCCTTGCCTTTCTTTCCCAGAGCTCTAGTGGGTAGTAGGACTTCCTTCAAGACACACAAACTAACCACATTGGTTCTTATTATCCTCCTTGCTTTAAAGTGTTTCAGTCCTGGTATTTTCATAATGCTATGTCTTTTGTTTGTTTTTCTTCCAGTTTAAGAAGAGTCCTCCTAAGATCCCATATAAGGCCATTGCGCTTGCGACAGTGCTGTTTTTGATTGGGGCCTTTCTCATAATCATAGGCTCCCTCCTGCTGGCTGGCTATATCAGCAAAGGGGTAAGCTGAAGTGTTTGTGGGAATGTGCATGAAATCCTTAAAGTGTGAGTCTGGGCTCTATTTTATATTCATATCTAGTACAGGAGTTTCCAGCAGAAAGAAGAAGAGAGTTTTCTTAAAAATTTCTTCTCTGGTAACAAAACATACGTTTCTTTTTTTGAGCAACAACATGCTTGTCCCAGTTTCTATGAGGGGTGTGTGGGGGGGGTGGGGGGGACATTTTCCTTCTGAGATGTCAAGCAGTCTTCCCACTGTCACAGTTTGGAACAGCAAAGGTGAGCCTAGCATTGAGGATTTCTGATTGATAAAGGCTGTACCCAGAGTAGAATGTGTTATTATAATTTTGCAGTGCCACAGACATTCTAGGTGTAGGGAGAAGCAGCGAGGCTTGTATAGGTCTGGGGCCACTGACTATGCCAGGACTTG